ATGGTCTTTAGCTTTAGAAGATAACCGACCATCATTCCAATACAAGGGATAGTGCATCGATGTCACAATTGGACAGGCAGACCATTTCTCCATAGGAGAACGCTCTTTGGTGGAATGCAAACATGGATGTTGGTGTAATCGGTTTTGTCAAGTTATTTTACTTGTGCAATCGGTTTTATCCCGTTAGTTACTTGTTAAAAATACTTCAACTCTTCAGTTAATGTTTAATTAAGGCAAGATATAACAAATGGAACATATTCTAAATTATTAAAATCCTTAGCCACATACCATATTTATAGACCCTTCAATGAACTTTTACCTTAATATTGATCAAATTGTGGTCCAATGACCTTCAAATTTTCCTTAACATGGTAATCCTATAATTATATTCTAATTATTGAAAAGAAGACAAGAGTGGAAGCTAAAAAGAGTATAAGAAAAGAAAACACTTGTTGAAAAGGAAACAAAAGAAATAAGAGAGAAAGAAGAGAAAGAAGAGAAAGAAAGAAAGAGAAGAGGAAGAGATAAAAATAAGAGAAAAGAAAAGAGAGAAAAGGAAGTAAAAGAAAGAGAGGATAACAAAAAGAGAGAAAAGGAAAAGAAAGAAAAGAGTGGCATCAAGAATGGAGAGAAGAATAAATGATATTATCAAAGAAAGATTTATTCATTAAAAAACACTGACAACAACAATGAAAGGACGAAAGAATGATAGAAAAGGAAAACACAAGCTTTGAATTCAATTAATATGTGTTTGATACTCTATTAGATTGTTTGTTAATTACTTTGTATAGTCAAAACAAATTTTTTAGTTTCGACATAAACTTCGAAATAGTTGTATATAAGTTAGTTTGTTTGTCCATTCTAAACCAACCTATGTGTAAGAATGTAAGTTTGTAAATACATGCACATGAATTAGCTTGCTTGTCCATCTCCAAAAAGTGTAAGTACAATCAAAGTTGTACTTATATTTTGAGTGTTTATTTGAGAAATATTCTATTAATCTTTTTTAGCATTACATCTTTAATTTAAAACTGCTTTATGATTTGTGCATGTGGGTATTTGACCCTAGAGGCAGGCCTCCAAAATCTTTGATAATAAGATATGGCTTCTTCTAGGATCCAAATCACATTTTAGTAAAATTTCTATTTTTGATATTTTTAAATTATGTTTTTGATTTGTGCATATAATCTTTCAAAATTCGTGGTTGGATTTTTTTTTCAAGAAGAACAAAATTAAGAAAAAATATAAGAAAGAGGGAGTTACTCCAAAAATCATTTGCACAGAGTTAGTCAAGAAATCATTCACCTCATGAAAGGATAAGGAGAAATTTAGGAAGGAGTGAGTAACTTCTAACCTTACCAAACATAAAAGGAAGGAATCTTCAAATGATAGAATTTAGTGAACAATTTCCTTATGTTGTTAAGAATAAAGAAATCAAGGTACAAAGTTAAGGACAACTTCGTTTCAAGAAAGAGGATATAATATAGAACTATCTCATGACTCCATACAAGAAGAACTAGAGGAGGAGCCTATGGCCTTCAATGGACATGAAAGCATGAAAATCATGGTTTAGAGAATACTTGAAGAATTGTTCTCATGAAAATTAGTTTATGTTTCTATATTTTTGAGCTTTCGATTTTCTTTTAGAAATTAGTTTAGGTTTTTATGCCTTTATGTTTTTATGCTTTTGGACTTGGGCTTTCTTTTTCTTAAACTTATGGATATATATATATATATATATATATATATATATATATATATATATATATATATATATATATATATATTGGTAAAA